GCCAGGTTCTCCAAAGGAAAAAATAAGATGTTGCGCGGCCGCAAATGTGGCCGTGCACTTCCAGGAGCTGAGGTTTATAGTCTGCGTCTTGGACATTGATGGGACCAACCTGGCGCTGGTGGCAGCTGGTGGGTATGACACCTACCTACTGGAAGATGGGGGGTCTGGTTGGAGAAGGCCCAGTCCCAATCCGAGTAGGCTTGGAGACCTCAGCCTTGGGACCTGCATGCCTGGGTTCCTCTGCCAGTTCTTTCATGCATGAGGCCTGTTTGGACATGTGGAGAGTGGTCCCAGCGTGGTTGTGGCTGGCTCCAGAGGTCTTCAGCTGCTGGGGCTCTGCTCGGGGCAGGGAGGGGGAGAGAAAATCAACCCTCCCCCATCCAAGGGGCCCCGGTGAGGACAGCCAGGCACGGGGGCAGGAGACTCTGCGCTGTTCTCCTCCGGGAGCTGGGTTTTATAGTCTCTGCGTCTTTATTATTTATAATAATAAATATTAAATACAAAATAAAATGAATCCTCACAGCAAGGACAGCAGTGACCAGTCAGAACAATGACAGACTCTGTTTGCTACTGTTGACAGAGAATGAAATAGTTGAACAAATCATACCTGCTAGGATTCATAAACTCTCATATATTCTGCATGCTCTCTCTCTCTCTCTCTCTCTCTCTCTCTCTTCCTCTCCCTGTGTCTCTTTGTTGTCTAGATGCTATATTGAGTACACCGATGTGTAACTAAATAGATAGGTAATAGATGCACAAATATAGGTGTTGAATGTTTGCGTGGACAGATTGATGATAGATTTAAGAGCACCTTGGCAGATATAGACATAGTAGCTCCAATAATGAATTCATACCACAAATCTTTGATAGATGATCAGGCAAAGACAGAAAGAAGGGAAAAAAAGAGGCAGAAAAAGAAAGAAAGGTCTGTTCAATATACAAATAGAGGTGGGTGGGTGACATGATGGATTGATGATTAAGAAGGTAAATGGATAGATTGATGTGAACAGGCTAGCAAGTAGATAATGGATGAGATCAAAGACGTAAGTAGAAGTCAAATATTATTTTACTTCGAAGCACAGCATTTAGTTTACATGAATCCACCCTACTTGGTTCACAGACACGAACAATCTCTATTAGACCTGTAAGACTGGTTGCTGCTTTCCAGGGGTTCTAGAGGACAATCAAGAAAACCAATAATGCAAGTAACAGAGTAGGAGACTAACACCCAAGGAGAGTAGAGATAAGGGCCCAGAGGATCTCTCCATGGCTTGGAAGCCGATGAAACCTTATGCCTATCAGCTCTTTGTCATCAGTAGGTTGTTCCAAGCTGCTGGTGTGTGTGTGTGTGTGTGTGTGTGTGTGTGTGTTTCTCCACCACTCATTATAATCTCCAGTTAGCTCCAGGAGATGGTCACGATGACTTTCCTTCCAAATGATGTCCCTAAGGAGATTTTTTATGATCTGCAAGAGTGACCCCAGAGTCAATGGCCTTGATAGAGAGGGAACCAGTATGACAATCATAGCTGGAAATGGTCCCCTTGGACAAGAACTGAGTGTTAAAGGAAGGTAAAGGGGTATTCCTGATAACCTTTCAGTCTCTGTATTGCAAACAGAATGCCCAAAAGGAAAAGAGAGGAAGAGAGAAGGGGGGAGGGGGAAATATGGAGGGAGAGAGACAGACAGAGAAAGAGAGTGAGAGAAAAAGAGAGAGATGGAGGGAGGGAGAGGGGGAGAGGGAGAGAGGAAGAGACAAAGGAAAAGTGATTGCCACAGAGGCAGGCTGGGGTTAGGGGGATGACAGGGAACCTGGGGTCATTGGTGGTGGGAAATGTGCCCCGGTGGAGGGACAGGTGTTGAAATACAGTATGACTGAAATCTAATCATGAACAGCTTTGTAAGGTTCTCACAGTGTTTCAATAAAAAATTTTAAAAAAGAAAAGAAAACAGAAGACTAGTACTCTTCCTAGCTTTTAATAAAAAAAAAACTTGAAGAACAGCTGAAGAACCACTTAGGATTTCAGAAAACTACAGGGCAGTAGTTTTCTACTACTAGTTCAGAGAGTTATCGGGAGTAAGAATTCAGAGAGTCGTTCCGAGAGTTATAGGGAGTAAGAGTCAAATGAGATCTAGTTAAATTCAGAGAGTTCGATGAGATCTAGGGTTCTGTTTCTTGTGCATTCCAAGTCAGTCTGGAGATTTTAGAAAAAAATGAAAGGGTGTTGGTCAGGGGTGAGACAGAGAATCAAGAAGTTCCTTCGGCAAGCAAAAATCTGAGACAGGGTCTGCGTAGCCTTTTTGCAAATAGTGGGAGCAAAATGAGCAGCAAGGATCATGTGTAGAAGTGAAGAGATAATTGTCCAGTTGGCTTGGATATACATCCCATGCCATAGTCATAAGAATGATAGATGGATATCTTTTTATTGGGTGTGTTTGCTGTGCAGAATTTTGAGTTTGTTTTTATTTGATGTCATCTCATTTATTTGTGTTTTTGTTGTTGTTACCACTATCTTTATTTCGTTGAAGATTCCCCTGTAGTCAATTTCCGGGAGATTTTCAGTCTATAGACACAAGAGAATACTATGCAGCCCTATAGGGGGAAAAAAATCAGCATCATGGAATTTGTAATCAATGGGCTGGAGCAATAGCACAGTGGTAGGGCGTTTGCCTTACAAGCGGCCAACATGGCCAACCCAAGTTCAATTCCTCCACCCCTCTCAGAGAGCCCAGCAAGCTACCAAGAGTATCTCGCCAGCACAGCAGAGCCTGGCAAGCTACCCGTGATGTATTCAACATGCCAAAAACAGTAACAACAAGTCTCATGATGGAGACGTTACTGGGCCTGCTCGAGCAAATCAGTGAACAACGGGAGGACCAGACCAGACCAGGATGGGACTAGAGGGTATCACATGAGTGAAGTCAGGCAGAAGGAAAGGGGCGGGCACAGAATGATCTCTCCCCTAGGTAGGACTTAAAGGTAACATGCACAGGGATAAGAAAAGACCTGAAGTAACACAGTTGGGAGAGAGAGAGAGAGACAGGGAGAGAGAAAGAGAGAGAGAGAGAGAGAGATTTGTATGATTGGATGAAAGAGATGGTGTTCTGTTGGAAATGTGTGCATGAAAAAAACCATCATCAATAGTATTAATCAATAGTATTATCCATCACAGAATCACAATCAATAACAGGTTTTGTTTCTTTGGAGGCTACCCTGGCATGCTCAAGGGCTTACTCGTGACTCTGTGCTCAGGAATTACTCTGGTGAGGTTCAGCATTTAGATTCAGCGGGGGGAAAAGCCCAGGTTAATTTCATGCAAGGCAAGGGCCTGACCTACTCTAGTATTGCTCCGCACCAATCAATAATGTATATACATATATATTATAAGGTAAAGGTAAAGGCCCTCCCGTTGATCGTCGATTTGCTCGAGCGGGCCCAGTAACGTCTCCATTGGAGACTTTGTTGTTACTGTGTCTGGCATATCGAATACTCTCGGTAGCTTGCCGGGCTCTCCGAGAGGGGCGGAGGAATCGAACTTGGGTCGGCCATGTTGGCCGCTTGTAAGGCGAACGCCCTACCCGCTGTGCTATCGCTCCCGTGAGCTACAGTTACAAAGCTTTCATGTTTGAGTTTCAGCCCTACAATGATGGAACCCCCATCCCTCCTCCAGTGCCCGTTCCCCACCACCGATATCTCCAGTATACCCCCCATCCCAACCCTCCCCCTGCCTTCATGGCAATTTCCCCCATACTCTCTCTCCCCTTCGGGGCATTATGGTTTGCAATACAGATACCAAGAGGAAGTAAGATATATGTTTAATGACAGACGGACACCCTACTCTGCGAGGACAGCACATTCACCAAGTTTGATTGTGGAAGTACTCATCAAAAGACCCAAGAAGACAGTGTCACATTGGCTCTGAAATCTCATCGAATAGCAGTTTCCATAATCTCAATCTAAGAGGTTTAAAACAGCATGTGGAATCGTAATAATTTAGACATGGATTTTCATACCTTCCTAAAAGCTAAAAAATAATTGGGTGAATCCAATCTCCCTCCATGAAGGGGTAGTTGACCAAAGATGGCATATTTCTACATTTGTGGAATACTTTTTTTCTTTAAATTATTTTTGTTGTTGTTGTTGAATCACCGTGAGATACAGTTACAAAGCCTTCATGTTTGAGTTTCAATCACACAATGATCAAATACCCATCCCTCCACCAGGGCACATTCCCCACCACCAATGTTACCTATATACTGCCTCTTTCTCACCCTCCCCCCGCCTCCATGGCAGATAATCTCCCCTCTCTCTCTACTTTGGGCATTAGTTTGCAATACAGAAACTGAGAGGCCATCACGTTGGGTCCTTGATCTACTTTCAGCACACATCTCCCATCCCGAGTGATCCCTCCAACCATCACTGACTCAATGACCCCTTCTCCATCCCAGCTGCCTTCTCCCCCCAGCTCATGAGGCAGGCATCCAACCATGGGGCATTATTCCTGGCCCTTGTGTCTACTGTACTTGTGGAATACTATATGGTAATAATAAAGGATTGGAGTCCCGTGACACTATGGACCAGCCTGGAAGACTTGCTTCCATAAAATTCCATGAAGCCAGCCATGACATTGCACAAAGCTTAGGACCTAAATGATGAGATATAATAAACATAACCAGTGAGTCTTCAGAGAGACCAAGTGCCACTTATTGGAGCTAAAGGTTTTCAGAAGAAGGGGGTGGTGAGTGATTATTCATGAGTCCCCCTGTCACTGTCATCCCATTAATCATCGATTACTCAAGCGGGCACCAGTAGCATCTTCCCTTTGTCCCAGCCCTGAGATTTTAGCATCGTAAACTTTCTGCTCTGTCTCGCCTGCACGGCAGAGCCTGGCAAGCTACTTGTGATGTATTCGAGATGCCAAACACAGTAACAACAAAGTCTCCAATGGAGACGTTACTGGGGCCCGCTCGAGCAAATTGATGAACAATGGGAGGACACTGACAGGGGACAGTGACTCCACAGATGAGGCACGCCAACTGGATGTCCTTGGGCATAATGGTGACGCACTTGGCAGGGAATGCCCAGAGGTTGGTGTCCTCGAAGAGCCCCACCAGGTAGGCCTCACAGGCCTCCTGCAATGCCATGACGGCCGAGCTCTGGGAGCACAGGTTGGTCTTGAAGTCCTGCACAATCTCACGCACCACGTGTTGGAACATCAACTTGCAGATGAGCAGCTCGGTGGACTTCTGGTAGTGGCAGAATTCGCACAGTGTCACTGTGTCAGGCCGGTAGTGGTGTCGCCTCTTCACGCCTCCCCTGGCTGGCGCACTCTTGTGGGTTGTCTTGGTGGCCAGCTGCTTGTGGGACACCTTCGCACCCATTGACATCCGTGCTGTCTGCTTAGTACGAACCCTCTCATTCTTCCCAGCTGGACACCCCTTCAGAGTTAGGGAATTGAGACCCGTTTTGGTTACTGTTGTTGGCATATTTGGTACTTCACCGGTGTCTGTCTGTCTTTCTTTCTTTCTTTCTTTCTTTCTTTCTTTCTTTCTTTCTCTCTCTCTCTTTCTTTCTCTCTCTCTTTCTTTCTTTCTCTCTCTGTCTCTTTCTTTCTCCTTCTTTCTTTCTTAGTTTCTTTCCTTCCTTCCTTCCTTCCTTCCTTCTTTCTTTCTTTGTTTCTTTCTTTCTTTCTTTGTATAACCTTTATTTGCTGAACAAAAAAAAAACATTCTAAGAAGGATTATTAGGATGGGCACCTGATACAAAGAAATTAAAAGCCACTGAATGGTATATTTAAAAGGGAGCAATGGTTGGGAGTCAATGGTTGTGAGCTTGCCACAAGTGTGTGTGTGTGGGGCGCAAAGGACAGTTAGCATTGAGAAAGGACCAGGATGACAATAACAGTTGGAAATTATCAAGCTGGATAAGAACTGAGTGTTGAAAATAGGTAAAAGGATATATATGATAACCTTTCAGCATCTGTATTGCAAACGCTCAAAAGGAAAGAGAGAAGAAGAAGAAGAAGAAGAAGAAGAAGAAGAAGAAGAAGAAGAAGAAGAAGGAGGAGGAGGAGGAGGAGGAGGAGGAGGAGGAGGAGGAGGAGGAGGAGGAGGAGGAGGAGGAGGAGGAGGAGGAGGAGGAGGAGGAGAAGGAAGAAGGAAGAAGGAAGAAGGAAGAAGAAGAAGAAGAAGAAGAAGAAGAAGAAGAAGAAGAAGAAGAAGAAGAAGAAGAAGAAGAAGAAGAAGAAGAAGAAATGCCTGCAATATAGGCAGATGGGGGTGGGTGTCAGGAGGGAACCTGGGGACTTTGGTGGTGGATAAATGTGCAGCGGTGAAGGGACGGGTGTTGGAACATCCCATGATTGAAACCTAATCCTGAACAACTTTGTAACTGTGTATCTCACTGTGATTCGATTTTTATCAAAGTAAATAAAAGGGATCAATTAAGAAACACATTTCAAGTTGATGATTTAAACACATAGGCTTATTACTAGTGTTTCTTCCCTTATCTAAGGAAATATCCTCACAGGATTTCTTCCCATTTGCCTGGTTTTACTCCCATGCCTCTATCCTCAGAATGGGCAAAACGCCCAGGCTTTCTAATGCAATCACTGCCTGAAAATACTCTCCATTGATATTCCAGACAGTATCATTTTGCTGGGATTTGAGGAAAATCAGTTCTCCGTTCCATTTTCCTGAGCTCAGTGATCCCTGGGTAATGCTATCATCTCCTCTACATCCCGTGAATGATTTAATTTCATCTCTCTAAAGTCCTTCCTAGGACTCGAGTCTTTTATAAGAAAATATTATTCCGAGTTTTCATAGGAGTTTATTATTTTGATAAGTTTATCCAATACGGAAGGTCCTCAAATATTACGGATGGATGCAAGGTAATTTCGGTATCATGCTAATGAGGAATAATGTATTCCCAGTGGCAAGTGGGGGTTTGGAGTCCTACAGGACTGTGCAAATGGCATGTTCTGATGGTGTCCTATTCAGCGTGAGCGTTTGCCTTGCCAGTAACCTTCACAATTCACCGTGGTACCTGAAACATTAGCAAGCAGACTAGAAAACAAATGAGTGAATTCTACTGATCAGAATTTGGAGTCTTGATGGCAAAGTTTGTTCTTCCACAACAACAACAACAACGAGATCCCTGAGTTTGCTTTTCCATCTCTTTTGCTGAAACCTACAGGTTCCAAGAATCCAAGGTAAATTCTCAGGGGTGGGTGGGGGCAGGGGTGTCCCCAGTGGATTTCCTATACAGGTGTGTTTCCGAGGTCCATTTGAAGGAGAAAACACCTGTTCTAGGATTTTGTCTCTTGGAGATTGGATAGTTTTGTCTCTCACATCTGTGGGGGGGGGGGGGGGGGTGGCTGGAGTGACAGTACAGTGGGGAGGGCATGGTCGACCCGGGCTCAATTCCCAGCATCCCATAGGGTCCCCCAAACAGTGCCAAGAGCAATTCCTGAGTGCAGAGACAGGAGTAAACCATGTGCATCGCCGGGTGTGACCAAAAAAAGAAAAAAAAATCTGTAGGAGGGTGAAAATGACAGTCACACATGCACACTCTCACACACACACACACACACATGCACACACACACTCACTCACACACATATATGCATATATCTACCTATAACATAAATAAGATTGATATTTGTAAATCTCACGATCACGATCATCCTGTTGTTCGTCAGTTGCCTCGAGCAGGCACCAGTAACGTCTCCTTCGCCCTAGCCGTGAGATTTTAAAAAGTGCCACATTCAAGGCTCTTTCAGGGTTAGGAGAATGAGACCCATCCTTGTTACTGGTATTTGGCATATTGGCTACGCCACGGGGAGTTTGCCAGACTCTGCCATGTGGGCAGGTTACATTCGGTAGCCTGCCAGGTTGTCCAAAGTAAGAATGAGATAATGTCTTCCAGGAGCTGGGTTTTATAGTCTCTGGGTCTTGGCCGTTGATGGGATTACACAGCGCCACGGGGTCAGTTGGTGGGTGTGACCCCTGCCTACTGAAAGATGGAGGATCTGGGTGGAGGATGGTCAGAGTAGGCTTGGAGATCTCAGCCCCAGGACCCGCATGCCTTTGTTCCTCTGCCAGTGCCTTCCTGCGTGTGGAGAGTGGTCTCAGCATGGTGGTAGCTGGTTCTGGAGGTCTTCAAATGCCGGAGCTCTGCTCGGGGCGGGGAGGGAAACTCAACCCACCCCCCTCTAAGGGGCCCTGGTGAGGACAGCCAGGCGTGGGAGCAGGAGACTCTGTGCTGTTCTCCACCAGGAGCTGGGTTTTATAGTCTCTGGGTCTTGGCCGTTGATGGGATTACCTGGCATGCCGGGGGGCAGTTGGTGGGTGTGACCCCTGCCTACTGGAAGACGGAGGATCTGGGTGGAGGATTGTAAATCTAAGGTAGATATTTGTAAATCTAAGATTGATATTTGTAAATCTGTAACGGAACCTGTAATCAGACACAAAAACAAGGGTCTCCATTCCGTCCCAAGACGCAGTGGACACAGCACCGTTGGGAGCCATGAATCTCACTGATGGACCCAACAAGTACCTTGTGGAGATCTCAACTCAAAGCAAGCACTGGGCCAGCAGGTAAGCTGGCATGGGGCGCAACCAGGGTGGACTTGACAGTTCCATTATTTGGTACGTCTGTGCCCGCCAGGCAGGCAAAAGCTTACTCCATATTCACGGTCATATTTTCCAGATCACTCCCTATATCAAAGTGTTAACACCTGACTTCCCAAAATACACCCTTATGTGCCCCATCATCCTTTCCTGCACCCACACTTCTCTTCAACAAGGTCCTCCTTGTTTTCTTTTCTTACTGTAATTTTAATTAATTAAAATTAATTAATTAATTTAAAGGCCCTCCCATTGATCGTCGATTTGCTCGAGCGGGCCCAGTAACGTCTCCATTGGAGACTTTGTTGTTACTGTGTCTGGCATATCGAATACTCTCGGTAGCTTGCCGGGCTCTCCGAGAGGGGCGGAGGAATCGAACTCGGGTTGGCCATGTTGGCCGCTTGTAAGGCGAACGCCCTACCCGCTGTGCTATCGCTCCAGCCCCTAATTAATTAGAGGGAAGCCCTCTAATTAATTAGAGGGAACGTGATCTGATTGTTTTAAACCATGTCACATATCATCATGGCCCTCGAGAAGTCTGAGTTGAGTAGAATCATATTATCACCTTCATCACCACCACCTACCAGGGTATTACAAAGCCGTTGGGCGGGAGCGATCGCACAGCGGGGAGGGCGTTTGCCGTGCACATGGCCAACCTGGGTTCGATTCCCCCATCCCTCTTGGAGAGTCAGGCAAGCTCCCAAGAGTATCCCACCTGCATGGCAGAGCCTGGCAAGCTCCCCATGGCGTCTTCGAGATGCCAAACACAGTCACAAGCAAGTCTCACCGTGGAGACGTTCCTGGTGCCCGCTCGAGCAAATCGATGAACAACGGGAGGACAGTGCTACACTGCTACTCACTTTAAAAGCTAAAAGCCATCACCATCCCCCGCAATCCCCCTGGGTCATTAGCAGGCTCATTTTTATTCCTCTACTGTTTTTATTTCGACACCAACCTTGGGGGTTGGTTTGGGAGGAGGGGAATAAGAATCTATATTCCTACTCAAAAATGCACACCCACACACACATGTCTAATGTGGGGAAAAAAATCCTGACTTTCGGGGGAATGAATTCAATAATTCTAATTATCATATATTCACACGGAGAGAAAAAATAAATATTTGCATCCCTATTGGGACCTAGCGGCGGGGGGGTGTACACATGTTTCATCGTTAATCATAAATGAGTCTGATCTATAGGCATCGGTATTCAATCAGTCAAAATCCATACCCTAAATGGTTTCCCTCTGCCCTTTGGTCTGTGTTCTGAAACAATATTTGCACTGGAAATGCATCTAAAATGATATCAACTGGATGGGATGAAATTCAACTCTGAATACAGTGACTTTGGGCATATCTAATATATATCCTATCTATCTGCATGATAGTATATACTCTAATTGGATTATCAAGTATACATCTTTTATTCTCACAGCTCCTTTGGGTTTACAAATTAGGCCATCTGTTTCTCACATTCTCTTTTCAAATGTTTCTTATTTTATAAGGTAGTTCACAACATTTGATTACATTTAATATTCAAACACCAATCCCACCTCCCCACCACCACAATGGACACGGTACGGGGCCCGCTCGAGCAAATCGATGAACAACAGGAGGACAGTGACAGTGACCCATTCGTCTCAAGCCCCTATCCCTGTCCCAAAGCACAACCAAAATAATATATTTTATATTATCCGTTATGAAGAACAACTGAAAATTCTTACCAAAAAAAAAAAAAGTATTCGCAGGCTGCAGTGATAGCACAGCGGGCAGGGCGTTTGCCTTGAATGCGGCCGACCCGGGTTCAATTCCCAGCATCCCATAGGGTCCCCTGAGCACCGCCAGGAGTCATTCCTGAGTG